CTATGTGACTTGCCAGAGTGATAAGGGCTTGTGAATGGATGTTATCTAAACCCGGTAATGAGTTCTTCTTTAAAGCCATGAGCTTAGCCTTTACCTTTTCGGAGGAAAAGATAATGTCTGTTAGTAATGGGTGGGGAATATGTTCCAGCAAACGGGGAAGTACGAACCCAGTGTTACTGGGCGCATTGACCACTTGATTTCGGAGTTTTTCATGAACACTAAACGCCCTTGGGCTGTTTATGTTATGTCCTATGCCCGACAGTTAGTGTGCCTGAATCTTCCCGCTTCAATCGGACAAATTATTTGGCTTTCATCTTAGTCGAAAATCGAGGTTCAGAATCTTTTTTGATTCGGTCCACCATTTTCATCCCATTTCACTTTTTTACCGCTCCGGAGAGGTTGATCTTTCCAGTTTGGCTGGCCTGTAGGTCCGTCGTTTGATCAGAGCGTGACCATTTTGTTGACGTTTTGTCCGATCCTTGAGCAAAATCAAGTGCTCAAAACTAACGTACCTGTCTGCTGAGCTGTTGGAAGTGTCAAACCTCTATAAATTCTGTGATTTATTTTGAACGCTCTTGGCGAATAATTTTATCTGATTCCCTGTTGAATTTGCATTCTTGTTGATATTTATGGAATGAACCAAGTAAGGGTATGTCATGCCTACTGATCCGTGTTCATAAGGCTATTCATTATTTTCGGGAACAGCGGAATTGATCTCCTAAAGTGTGTACTAAAAGAAACGTTATATAATTGACCTTTTAGGCGAATAACTGATGCGCATAAATATATATTTGCCCTTGTAGAGAGTCTTTGAATTTTTTGATAGCTGGGCACAGTTATCGGTCATATAACGGAATCCACACTTCTTTTTTACTAAAAACGACAAAAATAAATATTTTTGTCTATCAGTTCTACAACAATTTGCTTCGGTGAATTGTGGAATTAAATTAAGGGATGTTTATTTTTTCATGATTGTGATCTAAAACACCGGAGTACTAACTAATAGCAGTGTGTCCTTCTTACATGTATTATCGTCCTCTTAACAGCAAATTATATTCTTCTGCCTTAAAGTTAACCCAAAATTGGAAAACTAATTTACAAAACGTAGATAAAGGTAATTTAAAGTAGGAAAAAACAAGATTTGATGGAGTGCTGGTGGTTAACGTCAGCCGCATCACCCGGTAAAAGGTGGACACTCGAAGTCAGCGTTTTAGGTCGATTCCGGCTCATCTTATCTTCGTGACTTGTTTTCAAAGCGCTCGGTTTTGCCTTCTCCATCTTTTTTATCTTTACTTAAAAACAATTCGTTCTATCGCATTTTTATTCTGTTTTGCAGGAGTTGGAGTCCCCAATTCCCCGTGACAAAATCAGCAGCCTTTTCGAAAAGTTTGACGCCGAATTCGCCCTCGGTGAACAGCCGGATCGCTTGACTTTCGATTGTTCGCTTTCGCAAATGCCTGATACAGATGAGTTAGAACGACGACGCCTGAAAGTTATACAACTGTTCTCGGCAAACCGGATTGATCTCGTTAAAGAGGAAAATGGCGTACTATCGGTGAACAATGTAGTTTTTATCGCTCCTCCGTACACTATCAATCATTGTACTGGAAGTAACGTGGTTGTTTTAAATCGAGTGAAAAAATTAATGGAAAGCATCGAATTGTAAAAAGTTTTCTTGATATCTTTTTTGTATATACAAGTTCTTTGATTAACGCCTCAGCTCCGTTATCTGCGTTCATACAGGAGGCTGTTCTTGTTGGTACTCTTAGGTGGTGATCGCTGCACATTCCTCAAGTATATCGTTCGGAGTTCTTGGCGCACCAGGAGGTGCATGTGAGGCCAGGCCGAATAATGGTTTAGGTCTCGTCACTTTCCACTGTGTCTTGAATATAGCCTTTCAGAATATAGACCTTAAATCAGGATTTGCCTGCAGTGGTTGTCAATCGGCTGGGGTATATTCAAGAGTTGTTTATTCTAAATGGAACCGTAGCTGCTCGACAAGAATTTTCAAGGATCTTTTGACTCGTCTCCTAGAAAAGCAGATTGTCACGTATGTTGCGAGGGTTTCAAAGCAGAAAAGCTTATATGTATCACCGGCTGGCCAGGAAGTTTCACGGGGATTGACTGGCTCGGGAACTGTGGTTTCAAGTAGCCCGGGTAATTGTGGCAGGTTTACTGCTCAATATCTGTCGGAGTTCCTCGGAGTAGTTGTCGTTGGTTGTCCAATACTCTACTTCCGAGCGTCTGAAGCAAGTGGCAGTATGGTAGCACGCTGATGAGACTTTAGTAACCAGGTGGTTGCTGATGTTCGTCAGAACCTGTCACTAATATTCTCTCATTCTTTCTGGATATCCGTCCCAAGAGGAAACAGAACCAAGGATTGAAACTGAAACTTCCGAAAGGTTGGAAGTGAGTTTATCTAGCCTAGGCCGGTATCTTAGCAACGGCCGCGGAAATCTGAAAGCAGATCTGATCAGTGCAAAGGAAGCGTGTGATACAGATCTCACGGTGGGGAATTGTGCCGGTGCGGTCCTTTCGAGCTCACTGAAAGCACGACTTAATTCTGGAAGTATCTAAGTTGCTATATCTAGTGAAGAAACTTTGGCGGAGGTGTCCAATTGTAACCCCCGTATTTTTTTATTGGGATATTGTCATGAAATAGTAGTAATTGTATCATGTTTGCAAATTACTTAAATGATTTTTAAGTGCTTTAAATTGTATTATGCCCCCCGTGGATGAATGCAAATTTGAGGCGTATTTGTTTAAAATTGTGAAAGCATGTTAGGGGTTGAAACATTCATCTCTTATAAAATGGGTAAAACTTCGTTACGGCCTCATTATGTATTTGCAGGATTGGCAGGCTCGCACTGCCGGGTATACTTTTTGTTGCATGATGTGCAGAAAACGCCCACCAATTAGAGGGGGGCAATTTCTCTGATGGCTTTGTACATCGTGCGACCGGCGTTCACACTAAAACTGTGGGTAAAGCTCCGACTGATGAACGTGTACGGTTCTGTCATGATGATATTGGGTGACTTTGATGAGGTTCAACATCGGTGGTTCGATTTTTCGTATGAGACACTGCGTACTTATATGAAAACATTGGGGCCACATTAGGCAAGCGTATCCCCGTTAAACCATTTGATATTCTTGCTGGTTTTGTTCTTTTGATGCTATACTATTCATAAGTACTTTTATTCTGATGTTTATAAGAGCTGTATGATTTTTAGACATCACGCTACTCGTGAGTAGTCGTGATATTTCTGCCAAAAATCGTTCAGGGGGGTTAATATTGGAAACCACAGAAACTTCCTCTGGAAGATCGCTATCGCCAAATAATGGTGATACATGCTAATTTTCGACGGTACAGTTCACCGTGCCCGGTAGAGAAAAATGGTGGCCTAGTTTTTGTAATATCCAAGGGGCTAAGTCACTACTTGATATCTGAACCTTGACGGTTATTACGTTTGTTGCGTTTGCACCATGCTTGTCTACAAGATATATATATATATACATATATATGGTTCTGATAAGTGTGCTATGGCTATTTAACCATGTCTTTATAGTCCTCAAGTAGATAAAACTAATTGGAAACTGAACCTGTCCTGTTGAAGTCACCAGCCTGCGGTGAAGATGATTCTGGTCCGTGATTTGATGGTCACGTCCAGTTTGAATGGATCTACCAGGAAAAAGCAAGAAAAGAAAACTGCTTTTGCGAAACTGTCGGTTGAAGAACCGCTACATCAGCCTTCCCCTAGAAGCCACCCAACCCAGACCTATAATGTTAGCCCTCACGAGTGTGCATGCCAGGGACCGCC